CCAATGGCAATGCAGCTGAATGCTGCTTCTCATTCTGCTCTCACAGGAATTTCACAATCAAGTCAGTAAACTCTTTGGACTCCAGAGCATTTTAAAAAATCCTGGAAAGTAACATGCAAAATACGGTAATGTACGCAGATATAATGGTAATAAATATTCTGCACTTAAGTATGTGCAGCTGCATTATACCTGTAGGCTACGTCTACACTGCATGCTTCTTGCGCAATAACTGTTTTGCAGAAGAGTTCTTGTGCAAAATATCTTTCACGAGAGCGCATCCACACTGCCATATGCTTTTGCGCAAGAGATGTGATTTTGCGCAAGAGCATCCATGGCAGTGTGGACGCTCTCTTGCGCAAGAAAGCTCTGATGGCCATTTTAACCATAGGGGCTTCTTGCGCAAGAAATCATGTTGCCTGTCTACACTGCCCTCTTGTGGAAGAGATCTTGCGCAAGAAGGCTTATTCCTCGTGGGGAGAGGAATAATTCTTCTGGAAGAAGCCCTGTTTTCCGATGCTATACTGTAAATTTACTTGGGCAAGAACGCACGTGCAGTGTAGACAGCTAGCAAGTTTTTGCGCAAGAACGGGCATTCTTGCGCAAGAAGCATGCAGTGTAGACACAGCCATGGAGTGCAGATAAGCTGCTTATTACAGCTTTGCAAGACAATTAGGCTGTGTCTACATTGGCACCCTTTTCCGGAAAAGGGATGCTAATGAGACCAGTCGGAATTGCAAATGCCACGGGGGATTTAAATATCCCCCGCGGCATTTGCATGAACATGGCCGCCGCTTTTTTCCGGCTTGGGGTTTTGCCGGAGAAAAGCGCCAGTCTAGATGGGATCTTACGGACAATAAACCCTTTTCTGGAAGATCCCTTATTCCTACTTTCAAGTAGGAATAAAGGATCTTCCGGAAAAGGGTTTATTGTCCGCAAGATCCCGTCTAGACTGGCGCTTTTCTTCAGCAAAACTGAATGGGTTCCCTGATGCTCTGACAAGAGAGCAGCCAGAGTAGGACACAGATGGCCAGACACACTCCCCCCTTCCAAACACACACACGTTTCCCTCTAACACTATTATTGTCAACAGAGGGAAACATCCCTCCCAGCCACTTTCAAATGTAGCAGGGATGGACAGCTCATCTCTGTTGGCAGACAGTGCCGTACATGGAAAGAGATGGTCACTCCATTAGCATGGATTTGTACGGTTTTGATCTAGATCAGTGGTCCCCAACCATTTGGGGTTGCCGGGCGCCAGGGGGTGTGGCCGTTCGCCCACCGGGCGCCCAGGGGGCGGGGCCCCCCTGAGCGGGGCCCCCCCCATAGCCGCATTCCCGGGGCCGGCACTGGCGCTCTCTCCCCCAAGCGCCGCGCGCCCAGGGCCGGCGCTGGCGCTCTCTTCCCCCCCATGCGCCACGGGGGTTCAATTCGCGGCGCCCTCGGGGCTGGCACTCACCGTGCGCCACGCACCCGGGGCCGGCTCCGGCACCGCGCATGCGCCATGTGCCCGGGGCCAGGCCAGCCCTGAGCACTTGGTGGGCGCAGACAAATGCCCCCGTGGGCGCCATGGCGCCCGTGGGCACCGTGTTGGGGACCACGGGTGTAGATGGTATTATCTTAATTATGCAGAGGAGGGCTGAGATACAGAAAGGTTAAACAACTTAAGGTCATAGTGAGTCAGTGTCAGAGCCATTCTAGGTCCCTGTCTTGTGCCCTACCCATTAATGGTGCTGCTTGGTAAATACTCTTTTTTATCCTTAATGTTTCTGCAAATGATACAAGACCCAATGCAACTAGAACAATGAATACAATACCTAATACTATTGCTAAAACCAAGGAGGCTGAATTTTCTACTCTATTCCTAATGACACTTTGTAAAGTAATTGCTTTATTGAAGTACTGTAAGAGGTCCCCATTCACCAAATCCAGTCTCCTCTCATTTATTCATCTCCTGAATGACAAAGATGGATCTAGGCACCATTAACCGCTAATGTTTTGACCCACGCAGGTCTTCATCAGAGCCTTTTTAAACTTCATTACAACTGACACAAGCTTCTTCAGAGAATAGATTTTGACAGCCACATACCAGCTGACTCCAAGAAGTCAGCTCCATTTAATTTGGGAAGTAGAAATTGTATTTATTATGGAATCTCCATTTTCAATATCCTGAGTAATGTTATGCATAATTATGTGTCACACAGAGCAGAATGAGAGGAATATAATGGATCTGCTGTATGAATAGAATGAATCTCAAAAGGTATGAAAACTGGTCTTGCAGTACATTATTCAGCTGCATTTCCATCTAGGCAAAGGTAATGTCTGTTCTGAAACTGGAAATGGGAAAAGAATGTATGGGCATATCCCCCTCCCCTGCACAAAAAAAAAAAAAGATTCTGACTCAAAAGGTTTTATAATCCCTGCTCCCCACATGAGCTGGTTATTAAACAGATTGAAAGAAGTGGCATTCATGAGAATTGCACATTTTTGCAGAGAAACAGCATCTGTAGTAAGTACACATTTCTGCATTATGGGTTTTAAATGGCACATTTTTCCTTCAGCCCAGGGAATATATTGTGCTTCACTCCAATAAATAATCAATTCTTAACACGAAAGAAGAAGAAAGTTCTGTCTCTTTTTGCACTTAACATAGTTGGCTGGTAAATCATCCTTTGGGGATATGATATTTCTGACAATACAGAGGAATGAGGCACAAAGGCCCCAAACACATCAATGAAGTTGTACTGCAGATTAAAGGGAAAGAATTCTGATCTACAAAATGTTGATGTACCAAAAAAAGGATAGAACGATGTTTTAGAAACATAGGCCCAGCCCTCTTTAAAGAAATGGTACCAAATAATTTGAATCCCACGTTTGACCGAATTTCAAATTGGTGTAAACAAGTGGGGACTGTTTAGCATTCAAAAAAAAATGTAACTCATGAGCCCCACACAAAACCAAATAAATCCACATTTGCCACATGACCAGAATGGAACAGGAAAGGCCCCTGCACAGCTAGGAAGACTTTAAACCTATGTGCTGTAAGCTGCTTGAATCTGAATGTACATTATGGTAAGACAGTAAAGGAAAAATGCCTGACTTCTAAGGTGTTTGTGTGTGCATTCTGTATATTCCAGGCTCACATCCTTTGTTTTTAACGAACATTTTTGCCACAGGGTTTTTCATTTAGCTCTGAAAAACTAACGTTTGGAAACATACAAGCTCATCAGTTCAGCTGGTAACCAATTTCTAGTTCAATGTATGAATTTATTCATAATGGAAAAGAATAATTCAACTACTGCTCATGTGCTGTGAACTGTATCTAGAGTGCCTTAGAGAAGTAAAATAAGTATTTCTAGCCATAAAACTTTCAGGTCACATTAAAATGTGAGTAACTCACGTATATATTATACAACATAGAGAGCGTCTACACTGGCATGTGCTTTTGCGCAAGAGATGTGCTTTTGCTCAAAAGCATCCGTGCCAGTGTAGACACGCTCTTGCGCAAGAACGCTCCGATGGCCAATTTAGCCATTGGGCTTTCTTGTGCAAAATCATGCCAATGTAGACACAGCTACAGGGTTAGCAATTTGTCAGTTACACGACTGTCTGGCCAGAGTATTTCCCATGACTGAACTGGAAGAAGCAGTGCCAGATCTCTCTTGGAATTAATAAGTGAATACGTTTCCAATTAATGGAGACCTAGCAGCCCCAAAAGCAAGATAACACATCGTGAACTTACTCCACAGTGAATATTTTTATGGGACAGTATAAATTCAGAATGGAAAAAAACATCACATTAACAATATATTTACTATAAAATGCAACAAGTCCCATTGTGAAAATGAGCAACACACATTTTGTTGTATTTCTTCTTTAAGAAGGCAGAACAAGAACAAAAGCTTCCACCATGTGCTGTGAGCTGACAGAACCCAGTCTGCAGATGCAGGTACAAATAGAGAGCTGTGTTACTTTTATTTTCCCCACTTTCAGCAGAACACATACACAGTGCACTAGGTACTTCTGGTGTTAGCCATGAGATGGCACAGTTAGTACAATATAACAGCAAGCAAACCTTCATTCTGTCTTTCATAATGCTTTTTCATATTACAATTTATAGTTATTACTTCACCATTGAATTTCTTAGAACTAGACCTTGTTTAAAAATACACACATACTATAACTGAGAATTTTCAAGATTCAGGTCCATGTGCATGTTTCTTATGCAGCAGGCTGAGATTAACCATATTATTTTACTAGGAGGATGGTGAAGCACTGGAACGGGTGATCTATGGAGGTGATGAAATCTCCATGCCTGTAGGTTTTTAAGTTCCCGTTTGACAAACCCTGGCTGGGATGATTTAGTTGGGGTTGGTCCTGCTTTTAGCTGAGAATTGGACTCAATGACCTCCTGAGTTCTCTTCCAACCCGATGATTCTATGTGAACTGGGACAAATTTAGCTGGAACAGCGAATGTATATTTTATCATCATCAGTGTGTCAGAAACTCATTTCCTGACAGCATCTTACTTCTTTGGCTCACTGGAATAAGCAAGGCCAGGGTTCCAGAGACACCAAACATAAAATTCAGCATTCAAAGACATCCTGTGCATGCAGATCATTCACTAGTGATGCAGGCTAGATCTGGAAAATAGTGAATAGCCTACACTCATCCATGCATGTCAGTTTTTCACTGGGGACAGACATATTGGGCCAGGCTCTCAGCTCATTGTAAATACTGCAGGTTCATGCCATCCTAGAGTGGTAGCAAGGGGAAATTAATGCTTTCCTCATTCAAAGACATCCTGTGCATGCAGATCATTCACTAGTGATGCAGGCTAGATCTGGAAAATAGTGAATAGCCTACACTCATCCATGCATGTCAGTTTTTCACTGGGGACAGACATATTGGGCCAGGCTCTCAGCTCATTGTAAATACTGCAGGTTCATGCCATCCTAGAGTGGTAGCAAGGGGAAATTAATGCTTTCCTAAAACATCCCCCTGCCACCACTGACACAGGGAGGAAAAGGGCAGGTCTACCTATACTCCACAGATTTTCTTTCTCATACTTTTTAAGTCTCTTAGGGCAATTGAGTCTGCTCTGATTTATGCTGGGGGCTTTGGCAGACCTGAAGTCCAGGGGGCTGTACTGATGGTATAAAATCAACTAAGTCTTTGGAAATGTTCCCTCTAATTTTTTCCATCTATATGTAAAATAAATTTTGTTACATGCACCGAGGCCTGTGTGGCTTGGCATCACTAGTACAAACACATGCTGCTGGCTGTGGGCACTCTGCTAATGAGCTGGGTGGCATTTGAATAATTCCTGGGTGGCTGCACAAGTACTCAGTTTACAGGAAGCACTGGCCTTTACTATAAGTTACTAATATCATAATGTGGTTGCTTGAATTATTTATTGGCTGAATTTGCCACAGGACACAGAACTCAATTCTTCTTCACTGTAGTGCATTGGTTCTGCCTACAGATACTGCAGCACAGGAGATTTTATGTAAACATTCTGTAGTGGCAAACTAAATGCATTTTTTTATTTTACTTAAAACTATGAACCAACATTTGTACTGACTTATACCCTTGGACTTATACCGACTGGCTTATACCGACTGGCTTACAGCCAACATGCCTGCCACATGCTAGGCAATGCTGTCATTTCTCCATCATTATGACACCATATAAATTGATTGGGTACACTATTTACCTGTAACAACTGAGACTAGGTTAATGGTAGTGTCTTTAGGCCAAATTAATCTCAGGTGTAACTAACTCAAACCATTTCAGTGGGTTTCGCCTGGGCTATGTGTGTCCACAAGTATTTTGAAAACACGGCTGTGTAGGACTGGAATTAAGTACCCAACGAACTGTGGACACTGTTCAATAATTCTTTGTGGCACTAGCAATACAATGAGAACAACTCAATCCTGGTTGGGCCATGGCTGTCATTTAATGGTGCAACTGCCACTTATGGTGCTGGTCTTGAATGACAACAGACATACACAGTGGCAAATATTCCCCGGAGACTTACAACAAGAAGCACTTAATACAATCTCATGCTAAGTGGAACTGATGGGTAGATGCAAGTGAAAGTTGGGGAAATCAGGATTAGATCTAGATGTTTAATTTGTTTAAAAGCAGAGACACAAACATAAACATTACATGTAATGAACATGCAAGAAACAGAAATTACAGTGAGAAGTACTATAATTTGGAAACAGTCACCAAACAGTGAGGTAAAGAATGCTGTCAAATAATGATCAATACAAATAATCTATGGACTTAGAAGGAACACAAGATGCCTGGGGCCATATTAATTCCCTTTTCTAACTCCTTGCCACTTCACTGGAATTACACCTGAGATTAATTTGATCCCCTATTACTGTTTTTCCAGCCTAGATCCTTTTGCTTTGTGTTACTCCCCTACCTGTCTCACTCAGAACTAGCTTGTCTGCTCTGCATGCTGCCTTTGCATTCATTGCAAAGAGTCAGTCTTAATAATTATTACTCTGTCATGCAATGGAATCATTTTCCATGGGCTACAGTTCTTAGCTTTGTAACAGCATTATTGGCACCCTTCTCCAAATAAATGTCACAATACAGAGATATTTAGAAACTGAAACACATCAGAGAAGTGTTGAGCAGTGAAGGAAAAAAGACCAGAAAAGCAAACGTAGTGGAAATATATGTAAATGCCATTTTGTCTGAATTAAGTATGCTGTCCACACAAATGCATCCAAAAGATACACTGAACTTTCTCATCTGTAAAATGAGGTTAATACTATTTACATACCTGTCTCACAAGGCTGTTGTTCTACACTTCAATGAGGGGGATATATCAGAATTCTGGGAAGACAAAATACTGATTTGGGGGAGATATTTCTGAATGATAGATCTTTCAGAATTTTAGTTATCAATAATTGGAGTTTATCTGCAAATAAGAACTAATTATTATTATTTATACAGTAGATAAAAAGTTTAGCCAAATTATGGTAAAGACACCTACAATGATGACATGAATGGCTGAATGCCATTAACTTACACTGACTTCAATGTGATTTGAGAATGCTGAGAACTTTGCAGTGTCCAACCACAAATTTGTAAATGACGAATGAAGGTCTGGAGACAAGATGGGAGAGGTAGTATCTTTCATTGGACCAACTTTCTTCACCAACTAAAGTTGGTCCAATAAAAGATATTATCACACTCTACTTACCTTTCTAATATCCTGGGGCTATCACAACTACAGCACTGCAAATGATCTGGAGTGACGACTTTTAAACAACTGTTTTCTGGTCAAAGGTTTTATTTGCTGAATAAGCGCTGAAGTGGTTTTTCAAAGAAGGCATATAGAAACAAGGTATGTAAATATTTAGTGTTTTACTGTGTTGGAAAAAACTTCTTCAGTGCACGAAACAGCTCCCAGCTTGTAATTTATTATAATTAAACTAAATTAGACAGATTCTAGAAGGAGGCAGGCCAATTAGTTTGGGATGTCAATTTTAGTTTGCCATTGTCAAACACTGTTATAGGCCCTTGATAGATTGCTGGGTTGGTTTTTTCTAATCAGATAAATCTAAAGTGAAAGGAAATGAAACAGCCTGGCACAGAGAAGCATACAGTGCGTGCCATTAAAAATTCCAAGTTTGCTAACATCGGTATTTGGGACCAGCTTTTCCTTATAATTAGAGTAGGAGAAAAACATACTGTATGTAAACATACTGTATGGTATGTCTACATGGCAGTCAAAGGTGTGACCTTGTCCTTGCTGCCGATGGAATGAAGAGTGCATGTAGCTAAACACTGGAGTGAAAAACTGCTCCTGGGGATGGACAAACGCTCCAGCAAGTGAGGCTACATCTATACTTACATGTTGGAGATCTATCATCTGGCATTCGATTTAGCAGGTCTAGTTATGACCAAGGCAGCTCTGGTCAGTGCTGCTACTCCTCTCAAGGGAAGCCAATAGGAGCGTTTGCTCCCTTTGGCCTCCCATTGTGAATATGGCGTCAATCTTGGCTTACGGTAAGCCAACTCCAGCTACATTATTTAAATAGCTCGAGTTGAGTACCTTAAGCCACCCTTCCATATCTAGTGTACATCTGGCCAGCGGTGGAACTGTAGGAATATGTGCTGAACAACTCTACAAGGAAAAAGTGGACTATTCAAGCACTTTTAACAACACTTAAAAAAAATCCTAGACTCTGAAATGCACTGACATAGATAATAGAAAGTGGTAAGCATCTGTTAGCTGTGTCATATTCCTATAGGTTGTTACATCAGACTGTATGAATAAGAAACTATATCATGCATACCACTATTCACTAAAATAATAAAACCTATGGAGGGGCATATTTTTCAAATGATAAGTGATTTAGAAATATTATCAGTTCTTTAGTTTGATCTTCTGAGGTCCAGTTGTGTTGTCTTAAAATGACATTTTTCTCTTATTAGTTTGGTGACAAAATACCCATTTTGACATTTTCAGAAGACTAGGACTTCAAGACAGGGCAAACTAAATACCTACCAGGGGAACAGACTCAGTGAAGTGTGGTAATATATTTTGCACAAAATATCCCCTTTTTTGGCACTGACTTCTAGCAGTGCATATTATCCTTTACTACCTTGTTTTTAAAGTTTTATTTTAAGTTACAGACTAACATGGCAACTCCTCTGAGACTCCTGTACTACCTAGTCATAGAAAAGACTGAAAAGTGATTTTATTGCATTGTCATTATTGGCTTGGCACGTTTCATACATAGTTTCAGGAAAAAGTAGCCTATGTGAATTACTGCAGGATATGTTTCTTCACAAGACAGAGTGAGGTCTTTGGTTGAGCTGAATGTCAGAAGTGGGCAAGCACCACCAGAGCTTCCAAGCTTAACACTCTAAAAATGACAGACAGCTCCTTCATTGTGTTTGCTGACTTTCTGACTAGGTTCTTGTTGGTAAATAGCACAAATATAGATTCCAATGTAAAGAACCTAGATGTAACCTTTCAGTAACAGACAATGCAAGTGAAGTAAGCGTCACAGAAGACAAGTAATAGAAGAACTGGATGCCTCAGCCGATTGATGACCAATCAGAAGTCACTAGCATCTTACGACTGTTTGTGCCTTGTATGAAAGAATGTGGTGGCCTCAGTCCAGTTCTTGGGGCCAGGTGAGGTGTGTATATCACACATACCATCCCTCCTGACAGTTCCATCAAAGAGTAAGCACAAAGATGGAAGCACTCTCATAGCCCTACAGGTTTTCCTTCCAAAATTTGAGGCAGCCTGTCAGACCTTTATGAGGAAGCTTGTGATCCTGCTGCTGATGAAATACTGATTCTGTGGAGAAACAGAGGATTTCACTCTCTTGGGATTGTGTCTTGTGTGATATTTTAAACCACAATTAATTAAAAAAAATGAAAAAAGTCTTGTTAAAAAGACTGTCAGTTCCCCACAGAAAGTAGCTTTTGTGTCTGACTTTTCTTTTTTAAACTAGTAGTGATCAAACATAAAACAAAATGCCGCACACTTACATACATGTCCTTTGTCAATAAGTATTTACAGGTAGCTTTATAAATTTTTATACACATTTTCATATCCACATTTTCTTGTTTACTTTTAAATCGAGAGCAAAATCTACACCCAGAGACTTCTAAGGCTGTAGTTAGTGCTTATATTGTACATTCATGCTTGGTTTCTTTCTGGGATGAGGAGAAAAGAGTAAAAACAAACAAAAAAATGTGCAAATTACAGATATCTAAAAGAGCCCTGGTTTTAAGGGTTCTTGGAGAATGACATCAACAGAGAACATCAATTTCACTTCTCTTCAGCTCACAGATAGCTACTGTTGTGGGTGCAGGGGAGGAGATGAAAAAAAAACCCCATATACGAATATTTAGACAAGCACGTTGGTATTTAGGATATCTGGAAAAGAATGATCAGTTTCTACTGCATACAGTAGCTCAATCAACATGAGGTGCAGACTTCCTGAAAGTCTGCTATGTTATTGAAGACAGTCCATATTACACTACAAGTATCTGACCCCTGACATGTATTCTGGAGTCATATTATCTTTTACTAACACTATCTTTGCCAGGCACAGTATGATTGTACAGTCCAGAAATATTTAGTTTCTTGAAAAACACACATTCTTCTCTCATCATTTTCATAAGTTGTTTCGTTGTCATGCCTTAACAATAGGTATTGTAAAAAAACAAAATTTAAAAAGGAAACAATTTACAATTTACAAGTGTCCATATAAGTACTAATTAAAAAATCCAAGATCATCTACAAGTATCCATCTAATAACAATGATGATAATGGTACTGAGGCTGTGACTGAATGATTCAGTCATGTGGGAAGAGCAATCCACACACACTGTGAGAAATATAGAACGTGACTCTTCACAAAGTTGGGTCTTTTCTTCTGAAGTCTGTTTCCTCAGCAACAGCAGCAGTGCTGAGTCATTATTCACTACTTAGTTCGACCTATAGAGAGAAGAGATAGATGAGTTACTAATCAACAAGAAAGGTGGAAACAGACCTCTGGGTGTTCACTTCCTATGTTGGTGGTAGCCAAGTGAAAGGGCACAATTGAACAGACTCCTAGGAACAGAAGAAATGTTGACTGCAAGGCTGCACATGCTTGGGAAGCAGTTATGAAGATTACCCCACCCTGTAATCTCCTTTGGCAAAAGGATGTGTGAGCCATGTGGTGACAGAATCTGGTAAGGTGTCAGAAACTGTTAGAATGACGATTTCCTCTGGCTTCATTCATATTAAATGAATCGTATTTTTGCATGCTGGCTCATGATACTCTCATCTGGCCTGGTTATAGCAAACATATTTGAACTGGATCTACATAAAACGTTGTTTCCCAACCATATGTCAGCTGAGTTTGTGCAGCTGCACATACCATCCATCTGCCCTAGCACTGTATTCTGGGACCTTTCATGTGGTTATTTCATAGTGATTTGCAGTGCTTAGAAGATGTGCATTCAGTAAAGTGTCAGAAGCAGGTGTGATAGTCCTATCCTACAGAGAGTTGTGAAGGAGAATGGCCAGCTAATCTGGTTATATGAGCATAGATGGGGGTCTTATCCATACAACAAACTAGAGAATTATGACTATGGGGGTGGATAAAGCGTTGGGCTTTGTTCCTGTAAATATGCTACCTTCCCTAGCTCCACACAAACACTTCCTGTAATCTCACCAAATTAAATTAACCTAGGTCTTAATGCTGCCCTGGAACTGTGTACAAATGGAATGTTCCTTCTGTCTGATGATCCCCTTTATAATCTACCTTTGCCTCCAAAGAGAACACATTCACATTTTCCTCACTCTCTCCTTTGTCCATTTCTTTCATTATTTCATCTGTGTGTTGTCTATTCCCTTACTTCTGCACATCTTGAGCTAGACTGTAATCACCTCAGGAGAGAAAGGGTACGTCTAGACTGTGGCGCTATTTCAGGATACATAGCTATTATGCGTCTTTTCAACCAGCCTGTTAGATTTTGAAATAATGGGCTCGCTATTCCGACATCCCTGTAACCTTCGTTCCACGAGGGTTAAGGGATGTTTCAGAACAGTGGTTTATTTCAAAATTTGGTGCGGTGTAGACCAAAGCTATTTCGAAATTAAATCAAAATAAGATACACAATTTGCATAGCTAAAATAGCGTATCTTATTTTGACCGATAGTGGCAGTGTAGATGCACCCAAAATGTATCTTTACTTTTACTGTAGAGTGTCAGGTAAACTGATGAAGCTACAGAAATAAACAACAATAAATTGACAACCTATGCATATTATGTGTACACAAAGCAATGCTTCTTAGGAGAAGACATTTAATGTTAGCATCTCTTCAGGGGTGAAAAGGACAATTTTTCTCAGATTTGCTAATTATTAATAATTATTGTAGCACTATACAGATCCTCTAATATATAACAGTTGAATTATGATTAGGAGGTGGGTAAAGCATTGGGCTTTGTTCTTGTAAATATGCTACCGTCTCTAGCCCCATACCCAGAGAACAAGTTATCCACAGCTGACTAAGGATATAATCTTTCATAGTTTTGATAAGGCCATAGAACTCTGAGGGTTTGAAGTGCTATGATTTATTAATCTATGAAAATCTGAGGAAGTCTTATAATGTAGCTCTCATGCATTGGGCAGGACAATTCACAAAAGGTATGTCTACACTTGCAGCCTAATTTGAAATAGGGCTGCAAATGTAGGCATTCAAAATTGCAAATCAAGCCCAGGATTTAAATCTCCCGCGCTTGATTTGGATCTTCCTGGCCGGGTGCCATTTTTGAAATTGACAAGCCCAAACGGGTGTTCGAAACAAAGCCCTATTTCGAACTACCTGTTATTCCTCCTGCAATGAGGTTTAACAGGTAGTTTGAAATAGGGCTTTATTTCGAACGCCCGTTTCACTGCCGCATGTAGATGCGGGCAGTTATTCCAGGCTTGTCAATTTCAAAAATGGCGCCCGACCGGGAAGATGCAAATCAAGCACGGGATATTTAAATCCTGAGCTTGATTTGCAATTTTGAATGCCTACATTTGCAGCCCTATTTCGAATTAGTGTAGACATACCCAAATGGAGTAAATGTGATTTTCTATTCAATGGAAGTTGATCAAACTGATTCATAAAAGTTTAGGAACCTACCTATGTCCTGACACTTTACTACTGACCACAGAAAAAGGATTTTGGGATAATTCTACAATACCTTCATAGCCAAATGCCTACAAACCCCCACATATTGATGTGACAAGGGGAAAGAAAACTGAATATCCATCCTGGCTATAATTTATAAAGAAGTGTCACATTTTTACTTTTTCCTAGGAGTAAAATGATGAAAACAGTAAATGAAAAATAAGTAGATTTAGAGTCTTAATAAAGATCATGAGCTTTCATGGGTGGACTGCTCATTGTTTTTAAAGTATCTTATTCAGGTGAAAGGGAATGGAGTTTTTCAGTTCAGTTACTATTCTTCATGGGGACTGTGGTATTCCAGGATCATCCACAATTAGTACAGATAGTAATTGTCTTACTGAAAGAAAACAAGCAGGCAGGTTGATGCATTGCAGACAGATTGGCATTGCAAACCAGTGGATAGCACAGTTCACCGACTATCCAATTTGTCTCCTGCAGCTTGGCTTTTAATTCAAATTTACTTGGATGATTGAAATTCTTCTTCCCCCTTATTTAAGCATAAATCCAATTTGTACCTTGCCATTACATAAAACCACAATATCACTGAAGATGTTTATTATTGTTTTATAACTCTACAGTTGCAGGGCTGTCAGCCATGATCTTGTTAGGTGTCACAAGTTAACCAAAGCAGGACTTGGAAGGAATGGGAGGTCTCCCATTTAGCAGGTGCAATTTATGTCCACAAAGTTTGCCTACCCACAAAGTAAAATCTGGGTGCAAATCTTCAATCATGCATCTCTACCTGATCTCAGCTTGAAAACAGGTTATTTAATGTGAAAATTTTCAAATTTGTGCCCATAATTCAATTGTAGTTGCAAATTTTGCAGAAGTTTCAAAAAGGAAATAATCTTTTCTGAAACATTTACCACTTCATCTCCTTTTTATCTGAACAACAGTGCACTGGTTAATAAAATACTGGACATCACAATTTTTCCTCTAACCCTTCAGTAAAGTTAGTGGTGGTCTTTAAAATCAACATTGAGGGAACTCCCTACACTAAAAAGGTGATGAACATTTAAATCAGAAATGTAAACGTAGCATTTAGGATCTTCTTTCCACCTAATCCATGTTTTTTGTCTCATTATCTCAATCTGGCATGTTTCAACTATGGACAAAATACCAAGGGATCTGTGCGCCAACATAACTGTGTAGTGTAGATGTAACCTACAATAACAGAAAGGGGTTTTCCATTGGTGTAGGTACACCACTTCCCTGAACAATGGTAGCTACATCAATAGAAGTCTTCTTTTGTCGACAAAATGGCATGCATATTTGAGGTTAGGTTGAGGTAGGTATGTTGGTCAAGTGTGTGTTCTTCAAACTTTAGCGCTACCTAGCTATGTTGGCCTAGTGTTTAAGTCTCAGAGGGGTATCCGTGTTAGTCTGTAACTTTAAAAATAACTAGCAGATTTGTGGCAGCTTAGAGACTAACAAATATATTCTATCATGATGAAGTTGGTTTTACTCACGAAAGCTCATGATACAATATATTTGTTAGTCTCTAAACCCTTGTCTACACTAGGGAGTTATTTTGAAAAAACAAGTGGAATGTCCACACTACTAAGCCCATTATTTCGAAATAAGGGGCTGGTTATTTCAAAATAATAACTCCTGCTTTCCATGAGGAATAACACTTATTTCAAAATAGCGGTATGTGGACTCCACTGCTGCTATTTTGAAGTAACTACTCCCCACAGTCATTCAAAGAAATTATTTCCCAGTGCTTCCTGGGGCTCTAAGTCGAGGTAGTGTATCCACATTAAGGGAGCCTGCCACGGACTAATTTCAAGGGTTCCCTGTAATAAGGACATGCTATTTCAAAAGTATTATTTTGGGAGTTATTACTTCAAAATAATTATTGAAAAATATTGAAAAATAATTATTTCAAAATAATTTCCTATTGTAGACATGCCCTCAGGTACTACAAGACTGCTCGTTGTTTTTAACTTTTAAGTGTAAGCCAAGTCTCAGTGTACTTAATAAACCCATGCCACTGCTATTCCTTCCATATCAAAGAGCAACAAAAGCATTACTTTAAGGCTTATTTATACCTAAAGTTAATTCAAGGTCGAATTTGAATTTGGAGCAAAGAGCTATTCCTGACAAAGGCTTACATCTACACTATTGCCTGAACTGACACCCTGAGATTGATCCACTGGTGGTCGATTTAGTGGGTCTAGTGAAGGCCTGCCAAATCAACCGCAGCTTGCTCTGCCTCTTACTCTACTCTGAAGGAGAAGCGTTAGGGAAGTCAATGAGAGAGTTTCTCCAATCAACTCTCCTTCTCCCAGTGTAGGCCCTGTGTATGCTGACTCCAGCTACATTATTAACATAGATGGAGTTGCATAATTTAAGTTGACTTTCTGTTATAGTGTAGATGTAGCCTGACTTCAAGCATGGACAGTCTTATTCAAGAGTCAGAATACTTTGTTTCAGTTTAGCTTAATCCAAAGTGGATTAAGCAATAGCAGAACAAGGAACTCTTATTCCAGAAAAGAGAGTCAACACTTGGAGTTAGTCAGGAATAGTTATTCCAGAGAAGCTAATCCTGAATAGTTATTCCAGAATGACTCAATGTGTAGACAAGCCATTAGTGGAATATTTTGGAAATTCAGATCCTAGCACAGAGATGCAATCAATATGATCATAAACTGATCACTATTTTGTCTTATTAGTTGTCTTAATTGGATTCTTTTTTTTCTCCTTACACACTATTAAATTGCAATTATTTTTTTTCTGGGCTTTCATAATTCTACAATATGTCGTCTCTTTGTAATGATACAAAATTGAAACATTTTTCCTAATTTACATTTCTGCAACCAAATGCTGCTACACAGGAGTGAAAATTTATATTTGACAACATTCTAAGAGTAATGAAAACCTAGTTCTGATTTCATGTAGCAAATGCCCATCTTAAACACTATGTAAGTAATTGTTCTCTTTAAAATAAATTAACAGTCTTCCTCTAGATTTTTCCAATCCCTGAACACATCCCCACGAGGAAAACAATACACAACTTCAAAAAGACAGAGGACAGAGAGATAGTTAAATATTTGTTTACCTTTTATTCAGTACTCAGACAAAGTACATTCACCTGCAAAAAAGACAGCACACCTGTCCATTTTTTGAACATCAACATTTGATAGACATACCTGGTCTGTTAACTTTGTGATATCATGATTTCAAAATTTAATACAATCACAAGAAATTACAAAACTGTTGTAATGATACTCATTCTATAATGTGACACCTTGTTAAATAGAAAGTTCTGATGACTGTATTCTGGTATACAGTCTATTTAAACAAAAACAAACAGTTATGATTGTTTTGTTTCAGATGTTTACATGTTAAGGATTTGTACACTTGTTAAAACTTTCTAAATAAATAGCTTAAAAATATAACCTTTGAATCTCTTACCTAATAGCTAAAATTGTGTCATATCAAGTAAAGTTAGTCAGCTGCACTTTGGCTTTATCTTACAATGCATGAAAGATTCTGATGGGAATTTCATGACACGTAGGATCAGGACAGCAATTTATAAACACCTGACAAGAATTTGCCAAGTGATCTATTTTACCAATGTACTTTGAAGCGTTCCTCATTTGAAGGTATCTGCGCTTCTGCCAAGCTGATGCATTGCTAACATCTGCCAGTGCACAGATTTACCCCAAATTAAAAAACAAACCTAAAAAGAACATTTTGCAAGTGTGTCTTTCATGCATGAGAGAATATTTTGTTTGAATAAACTATGGAAACAATGGCATTTTAATTGTGGAAGCAAATCATTTATGGTGAAAAGATAATTGAATTTTTGTGTTTGCTCCATGGATTGATCATGGTGAACTTTCTTTTGCTCAGCAAATTTTTCTCTAGATTACACTGACACATTTGGTAGCTAGCTAAATCTGGCTAAAAGTAAGAGTTTCTTTCTCTCCTTTAAGGGGTCACACATTAAGGCAGAGGTGTGCAAATAATGGCCCATGGGCCAGATCCAGTTCCCCATGGTTAACTCCTGGTAAGCCGTCACTGCTATATTTACTTGCACCTCTACAGGTATGCGTGATAATATCTCTCATTGGCTGTGGCTCACCATTCCCAGCCAATGGGAGATGTGGGAAGTTCTTTTCTGGTCCATGCTGCTTCCCACAGCTTCCATTGGCTGGGAACAGTGATCCACAGTCAATGGGAGCTGCAAGCATCCATACCTGTGGAGGCGCAGGTAAACACAGTGGCAGTGACCCACCAAGAGCTACCCCTGAATTAAGGCTTAGGTGCCATTGGCAGTAACAGTGATATATCTACACTATTTCTGTTTCACAGCTGGCAGAGAAGAATTTTTTCCCTTCAGTTTTTCTGAACCCCTGATGCCAATTTGCATAGTGTGAATAATTAGTCATAAAGCATGAGAAATATTCACTCATTGTTTTGGTGGATATGAGCTATAACGTGTAGTGTTTTAGCATGTTTTAAATTGATTCATTTTAGCATAGTTAATGGTAAATTATAATTAAACCATTAGTAATCTCATGCCAAACTACTTCAGCAGCAGAGTAGTTTTCAGTCCTGTTAGAAGAATTAATATTGTCCATATGACTGAAACCTTACTTACTGGCTTTACAGGCTTTAACTCAACATGTTCCAGGGGGGTTTGCTGATAGCAGTATGTGTCAAGTCCACCTATGAAATCAACTGAAAATACAACAGGTCCATAAATGAATAAATGGAAATGAAAACACATAGGGGGGGGGGGGGAGGCGGGGAAAAAATGTGAATAATAAATAATAATAGTAATAAAGAACATGCATGCAGACAAGAAATCAAATATATTGACAGACAGAAATCAAAAATATTGTGAGACTCATTTGCATGGAGGGGCCTCAACCTAGCCTCCTTTTGTGCCTGCTTCACTCTGTGCAGGGAGAGACCAGTCTATCACCCAACCCAAACGCAGTGCACGCTTGTATATCTGCGTACTTCCAAAAGGGGTAGTGTATGTGGGGTGCATATGAAGGTCTGTTTGTGGTAATGTGGCCTTTTATTTTCAGGAGATCTAATCAAGCAGTTCTTGCTCAGATCAAAACCCTAGGGAAGTGTATGTGTGGGGAGTTTAATAAGGAGAAATGAAGGTGCTGGATCCTATGAGCAAAATTCTATTTGCAGTTAAATATGTGCAAATCAATGGACCCACATCAATGGAAGTTACATATGTGAGATAAAGAGCAGAGTTTGTCATTTTATTTGTGACATTAAAAGAATGAGTGAAAAATCAAAAGGCAGCTTCTCTGAACAAATCTCTTTGGGCCGGTGATCTTGTGAGAAAGCATCTTGCCTCTTTTTTTCTTCTTCAAGATTTCTACATCAGAAATGATGGTGGAATATCTGTATTTGAGGATGACACTAATGCCACTTCTTGTGGTCACAAATGAGTTCTTGTTCAAATAATTATGTTTGTACTTTCTAGCTCTTCATTCTTAACCAGGGTTCTTTAGTTCTAACGCCTACACCAAACCCCATTTTTTCATATTTCTCATTGCTGAATTCAGAGGGTGTAGTAGGAAAACAGCAAGAAAGGAGTGGCTCAACTGCTTCAGCAGCTGTTTACTCTGAATTTGTATTTGACAGTAAGAAGCTGTTCTTGTCTGGAATTGCCTTGAAATGCCCAGTGCCGATGTGCTCAATTCACAGCACACGAGGATTCTTCACACAATTTGCGGATGAATTCTAATTCCAATGCTTCTCTGTGTATCTGGCTAGTAGAATTGGTTTGTGACAAGACAGTGATTAGGAAGATTGAAGTGTTCCCCAACAGGTTTCTGTATGTTTCCTTTACGTATATCTGATTTGTGTCCATTGATTCTTTCCTGCAGAGACTGTCCAGTTTGTCCAATATATCTAGCAGTGGGGCACTGCTGACATTTGATGGCATAGATCAAATTACTGGATGTGCAGTCAAATATCCTTTTGATTTGGTAGCTTATGTTGTTGGCTCCAATGATGAATTCGCCAGTATAGATATGTGGGCAGAGTTGGCACCATGTTTGGTTGCAGGGCTGGGTTCCTGGATGCTTATGATATGGTTGTGTGGCATGGTTACCGGAAATAATTCGTTTTGGGTTGGGGGTTTTCTGTAAGCGAGAATAGGCTTTTCTCCCAAAGCCTCTGAGAGTGAGGGATCATTTTCCAAGATGGGTTTTAGATTGTGTATAATGCACTAGAGGAGTCTGAGTTGTGGATTATAGGTAATAACAAGTGGAGTTGTGTTATTTTCTCTTTTGGGTCTGTCTTGAAGAAGTTCATATCTGGGTACTTTTTTGGCTCTGTCAATTTGTTTTTTTCATATCTCCAGGTAGATATTTCAGTTTTAGGAATGCTCGGTAAAGATCCTGTAGGTGATTGTCTCTGTCTGTATCCATGTTTATAGATGAGGGACTGAGATACAATGATTAAGGGCCTAATCAAAAGCCCAATGAAATCTATGGGAAAATTTCCTTTGACTTATGTGGGCTTTCCCATTGAATTTAGGAAACTGGAACCAGATTTTGAAAGGTATTTTGGCATTCAGGCCTTCAGCATTGCAATGCCTAACTGATTTAGGAGTCTATACCTCATTTGAAAAAGGGTTTTAGGCACTTAGAAGCCTAAATCCCATTGATAGTAAATGGGATTTAGGTACCTAAATATCTACCTTCCTTTTAAAAATGAGATATAGGGTTTTAAATCAGTTAAGGGGTTGCAATACTGAGCACTCAACCCCAAATACTCTAAAAATATGGGCCATGTTAGCTTATCCAGGAACAAAACCCAGATATCCTGAGTTGCAGTCTAGTGCCTTAGCCATCAGTTCACTGTTGCATAGCCTACGGAGCATTACATCATGCCGAGAAAAAGCTAACACAGTCAGTGTGCCAGCCACAGGGTGACTTGTACTCTATGGTATTTTTTTATTACTTTCCAATCTTCATTCAGACTCTTATATGAAAATACAGTACAAACATCCAGAAAGAGACAGTAGAATAGGATGTAACTTTTAAAAGCTTTCTGTTTGTAGATATTTTCAGCTATTTCTTGTGTAGAAATCAAGCATAGTACTCAACTCAGAAGAAATTATGTTCACAGTAACACTATCCCTGTGGTCTTCCACTCTGGCCTTCTCAAAACTCTGAGAAGCATTATTACCTATTGAGAACATGTTATAGACGAGGTACCATAGCTCTATTCTATGCCTTAGCTCTATTCATACACTGCAGCTTCCAAGGAAGGAAACCTGAATTTAGGAAATGCATTTGGTTTGGATAATTCACCACTTCAGAATCACACACAATTCCTCTTCCACCAGTCACAATCTGCATCCATAAGGAAAACAAACCAACTAATCTTTTCCTAATATTTATCTGTATAGGAAATGAGGCTAATTAATATGACTGATTTCTAACTCGGAGGCATCTTTGACATCAAAATCTATAATGTCATGCACATGTAAAGATACGAGATACTAACCAGGAGTCGATATGAGATGAATAACTAGCTGAATGTTTCTCTCTGCTATTCATAACCATGCATACATGATCTTACAAAAGCCCTCTCATATAAATATGGATGGCTGACTTTGCTCTCAAAACAAGAAACAGTACTATTACATGAGACAACAAAGAAAAATGTCATTTTCCCCTTTAAAACTGTGTTTTAAGTAAATCTGGCTGACAATTTTTCAAATTAGAAAGCCTCTTTATGAGGAGGTTCTATAAAAGATTCATTTTCAGTTATTTTAATTATACATTATTTTTCATACAATGAATTTTAGAAATTTGATTTCATTTGACTTGCTTTTTTCACTTATGTCTCAGCTGATTCCCAGGATGGAAACAACAAAGAAAAGGTATCTATTAACTATGAAGATATCTGAGCTTCTAGTCTGACTGAGCCTGAGAAAATAAATATTTCTGTGTACCATCCAGCTGCAAGAGACACTCTGGTTTGGCTATAGGAGTCAAATGTATCAAATAAAACTCTTTGCTTTTGCTTCAGTGAACTCTTAAGATGTATGTTTCCCTTTGTTAAAATGGAGACAGAGAAAAAAGCATTAACATTTATGTAGATTCCCCCAGAAAAATAAAGTAGGCAGAGGATGTCTCTGCATAATTGATTATGTGTCTCCGACCTGCTTAATGAATTATAGGCAATATCTGCTATGGATCCATAAGACTATTATAATAAGCTTTAAACCAGAGAGCAACATACATTGTGAATAAAGTGCCATAGAAATATCAAGTGATTTTTCTCTGCAGTTACATACCCTGTGCATTAAAAAAAAAAGTTTAGCAGTGGTGATATTCAGTCACTGGAAAAAGAACTCTGCGTGGAGTCCAGTCATTAACTATGTTCTTGCAGAGATGCACTTAGAAAACTAGGGAGAGAATTTTCAGCACCCTGTAGATAATTACTGGTTACAGAGGAAACTAGTTATTTTATCTGCAGCTGGCTGCAAAACATGATCCATATTTCCAGGGAATTGTTCGCTTCTTGTGTTGCCTGAGTTTTGTGGTTGTGCCGGATGCTTAATGGCCAGCATGAAACGTTCTTTAAAAGTTCACTGCGTGCTGAGCTTGGAGGCTGCAAAACTGCCTTGACTGTTACTATGGGCAGGCTATGAAAATGATGTTCATTCACTCATGGGCAGTACAGGGGGGAGGAGGAATAGCTATCCAGGTCCCTCATTGAGAAAAGTGTTAAACACTGTGGGACCAAAGAGGTGCTCCTGCCATCATTAATGATTTTAAGATCCATACTTTGCTGGATAGCTGACATCCAAATATGTTTTATTCCTACTAATCCAGAGCTGTCTCCCATGTGCTGATGCTAACATTTCTTTTCAGGTTTGGGAGGAAAGCGCAGGATTAAAAAAGGGGTGTGAAAAGATAATGTCTCACTCAAAATACAGTTTATTTGGCCATAGTCCATAATTGTAACCAGTAGCTTTCAGGATCACTGCAGGAAGAGTGCAGAGGACTTCATTAAAAGATCTGTCGTGTCCCTTCCACTCCTACAATTCTATGATTAGCTACAGCAGCCACAGCGTGAGCCACTGTTATATTACCAACATTTCCTTTCAAAGGTACCAGGTTTTAGATGTGGCTGAACATGGAAGTGTAAGCAGATCATTCATATGCAGAAAACATACTGTGCTCTTAGAGAATCACCACAGTAACAGCATGTTGAGTAGTTCAGCCTGAAATGACTTTGGAGACAGTAAGATTAAGAAGATCTTTTACACTTGTGTAAGGCTCAGAGATCAATGGCTTAAAGGAACACCACTCTCCACTTTCCCCTCTAGACAAGCTACTGTCAGGTGTCATTTTCAGATTGTATACATTTTGCTTATCCATAGCTCTGTGTACAGGCAGTCCCCGGGTTACGTACAAGATAGAGACTATAGGTTTGTTCTTAAGTTGAATTTGTATGTAAGTCGGAACTGGCTCCAGATTCAGCCGCTGCTGCTGAAACTGACCAGGGGCTGACTACAGAAAGCTGGAGGCAGAATTGCTCTGTCCCCAGCTTCCTGGAAGCAGTCACTGATCAGTTTCAACAGCGGCTGAATCTCGAGCCTGGGACAGAACAGCTGGGCCGGGGGGCCTCGCCTCTGAGGCTTTGCGCTGGTAAGCCTCAGAGGCGCGGGACCCCTCCGCCTTCCC